TGAACAACTCAGAAGAGTTTGTAATGGCTGTGGTTTTATTATTAAGTTATTTTACTGCAAAATAACTTACACCAAGATCCATCCACATTTAAATTACTAAGAAGATTAGGACACAAAGCTGATTTTTACAAAGCAATATCTAGTAATTATAGTCTGCATTACCAAAATAAGTGTGCAAAATACTATAGGAATAGAAAAAGGTGTGAGGAAAGATTAGAATACTTGTAAGAATTAACTAAAAATAGAATGAGGAAACAGTAGGAATTAATTGATGAAAAAGAATATTGTTTTAATAGATACAAAATGCAATTAAAATAGGTAAAATTTATTTGAGCAATTCACAGATCTTATTTTCATGCTTCATAATTTGTTAAGATCTTGAACAGTGGTTATTTTTTTAAAATTTTTTATTTTTTGGTGCGACTGGTGTTTGAACTCAGAGCCTCACATTTGCTAGGCAGGCACTGTACCACTTGAGCCACTCTGCCATCCCTTTTTTGTGTTGAGTACTTTTTCTGTTATTGTTGTACTAGGGGTACATTGTGACGTTTAAAAAAGTTCTTACAGTTATCATAGTTGAGTTCTCCCCCTCCATCATTCTCCTTTATCTCTCCTCCCTCCATTCCTGAAATAGTTTCAACAGGTTTCATTTTTTCATTTACATACATGTGTATGTAATATTTCCACTATATTCACCCTCCTTATAACCCTTCCTCCTCCCTGAACCAACTCCCCAGACAGGACTTGTTTTGCCTTCCTGTTCTCTGTTTTTGGGAAAAAAAAAAAAAGACATTTTTATTTGTTTAAGATAGCTATACAGGTTTTTTCATTATGGCATTTCCATGTATATAATATGTATTATAACCTGAATTGGTTTATTGCCTCTATTTTTCTACTTTCTACCTTAGTCCCCTTCTTATGGTGATTTCAACAGGTTTAAAAATTCTATATTCATTCTTGTATAGGAAGTTCATCAACCATATTCACCTTAACTTCCTTCTTTTACCATTCCTCTCGAATGTGACCTCCCTTTTGTGTGACCTGTTTTTCATAATATCGCTTGTATTTGTATTGGGCTTTATTCCACATATGAGAGAAAACATGCGGCCTTTGACTTTCTGAACCTAAGATGATGATCTCCAGTTCTGTCCATTTACCTGCAAATGACAAAATTTCATTCTTTATGGCTGAATAAAATTTCATTGTATATAAATACCACACTTTTTTAATCATTCATCAGTACTGGGCATCTTGGCTGTTTCCATAGTTTAGCTATTGTGAATAATGTTGCAGTAAACATGCTTTTATTATAACCTGACTTACATTCCTTTGGGTATGTCCATAGGAATGGTATTGCTTGATCATATGGCAGTTCTATTCTTAGTTTTTGAGGACCCTCTATAATGTTTTCCATAATGGTAGAACTAATTTACATTTCCACCAACAGTGTATGAGGGTTCCTTTTTCCCCACATCCTCTCCAACATTTGTTGTTTGTGTTCTTGATGAGAGCCATTCTAACAGGAGTGAGGTAGAATCTTAGTGTGGTTTTGACTTGCATTTCCTTTATGGCCAGGGATGTCGAGCATTTCCTTATTTTTATTTTTCTTTATTCATATATTCATATGTGCATACATTGTTTTCTCTAATTTTGTTGAAGAGAAGACATAAACAATAATAAGAAAGACAAAGCATTTTTGCTAGTTGGGATAAGGATAGCTATACAGAGAGATTCCTAGCATTGCTTCCTTGCACAAGTGTATTACAACCCAAATTGATTCATCTCTTCACTACTTCCCAGTCACCTTCCCATATTGACCTCTGTTTCTTTAAGGTTACTGCATTACTGAGCATTTCTTCATGTGGTTTTTTGTCATTGTTGTTGCCAATTTGGACAAAAGCTCTATCTAGATCATTTGCCCATTTCTTCATTGGGTCATTGATTTTTTGGGAGTTTAGTTTTTTGAGCTTCCTGTGTGTTCTAGTTATTAATCCCTTGTCAGATTATATAGCTGGCAAAAATTTTCTCCCATTCTGTGGGCTGCCTCTTCATTCTGGTGACTATTTCTTTTATTGTGCAGAAGCTCTGTGTTGAGTATTTTTGAATAGGGTGTCTTGAACTATTTGTCCTGGCTGGCTTTGAACAGTGTTCCTCTTGATCTGCTTCCTGAGTAGTTAGGATTGCAGGCATGAGCCACTGGTTCCTGGCTTGAAATAATTATTGACTAGTATTTTAAAATCATAAAATCAAAACCTCTCAGGAGAAAGTCATTCTTGTTTAGGGAAGAGAGGATTTCAAATAGCACCTTAAACATTTAAGTGTATAGTTAATGAATGAGGCAGAAAATTTTTAATACATGCAGTGTACAATTTTAGTTAGAGCATACATAAACTAAAAGATAATCATGTGCTTGTGCTGAAATCACTGCTGCCATCATGCAAACATGTTATATATTATTTCTTGGGTTGAACCTGGAAACTTAGTGTATGTTATTTTTTGGTACATCTTGGGGAGCAGATTAAAGCCTATGAGAACTGGCACAAGCAAGGCGAGATGCAGTTTCTTGCTTTTACCCATAGGCCGAGATAGGCACAGCCCTCGGCGGTGAAACAGGGAAGGGCAGAACAGTTGCGTCTCCTAAATTGTGTTCAGAGAAGCAAGGACACAGGTTTTTCCTGTTGCAAGGTTATGCCCCTCCTGTGGCTTCACCCTGTTTGCTGCTGTAAAAGACCCCTAAAGGAGGAAGAGGGGCTTTTTGGCTTTTGCCTTTTGCAGCTTTACTTTGGGCTTTGGACTTTCTGCTTGGCTTCTGGCTTTTTTTCTTTGGGGGACTTTTTGCCTTTGAATATTGGGAAGAAGCTTTTACTTTGGGCCTTTTGGTGTGGGAAGCTTTTGGAAGGGAAAAGAATTATTGAAGTGAAAAACTGCTGAAGGGAAAAGAATTGTTGAAGGGAAAATGCTAACGGGAAAAGGGAAAAATTGCTGAAGGGAAAAGAATTGTTGAAAGGAAAATGTTAAAGGAAAGATGCTAAAGAGGGGTGATAGAAAGTTTGCACCGAGAACTTTAACATAGGCTTCAGAAAGCAAAGCTGAGAAAGAACTTCATACATAGGTCTTAGGAAATCTAAAAGCTAAAGAAAAGCCAAAGAGAACATGGACAGTGCACAGTGCAAGTCTAAGGACCGAGACCTTAAGAGTTACATATATACAGTTTTTAGGCATGGCTGCTGGTTTGCAAGTTTGAGCACTGAGGCTTTAAGAGAGCTAAAGGGAGAATGCTAAAGAAAAGGTGCAAGCCTGAGGGCAAAAGACTTTAAGAGCAGTTAAGGTAAAGATAAACTAACAGCAAACATGGGACAGTGGGAGCCTAAGGAAAGAGGTTTTAAGCAAGGTTTTAAAGAACTACAAGGAATAAAGCCTTAAAGAATCAAGATAGAGAAGAGAAGCGATGAGGATTGTGTGTCTCCAGCGGAGCTTACAAAACACCTGACCCCAACTTTCTGTCTGTCTGTTAGTCCTATGTCTCTTCAAAATCTCCAGTTGCCACCAGTTAAGCCCAGTTAGGTCCAGTAATAACCGAGGAGTGAGAGAGAAAACCTTGCTCATCAAAGGAGGGAGTGTGAGAAACAGCGCCCCCTTCAGTACATATTTGTGTTTCCCTCTTTATAATAACTACCTGAATATAATTGATAAAACTGATTAATTCCTATGTGTGGAGAAAACCTTTTTGGTAGTGGAAAGTGGAATTCAGCAGTGGGGGTAGATTGAGCAGCAGCTTTCTTTGCTCTCACTGGTATAAGGAGCCACCTATTTAGGGTTTGGAGAGAACTATGAGGAATCCACTAGGACACTTCTGTAGCTCTAAGATGTATGGAGAACTACTTGCTGGCTCAGTGCCTTTTTTAAACAAAGCATTAGATTAGTGCCAGAGAAATAAAGGAAGGGGAGTAAAATGGAAACCCTCTGTGTACAATCTATTCATGGTTGGTGAGAACTGTATTTAACATATAGAGAATATTGCTTTTAACCATGAAGTTTGACTTTGAAGTAATTAAAAATTACACAATGATATCTAATAGAGTTTATACTTACAGAGATATGTTAGCTCATTCTGGTCTGTGCCAAAATACATTTCTTTAGTACTTGCTAAATTTTAAGTGATACTATTTTCTATGATGAAAATGTGTTTTAAAACGAAATGTGTAAAATAGCTTGTCTTAACTCAGATTTGAGTTGGCTATGCTAAAATTTGCAATCTATGAAGTTCAAAGAATGTGTTAAGTGAATTTGATGAACGTATGCATTCATTTTATCACGGATGTTGAAAACTTACAAAGTAATAGCTACTTTTTCCTAAGCTGGGGATATATACTGATAAATAAAACAAAGCCCCTGCCTGCAGAGAAATTATATTCTTATGACACATTTCAGTCAGAAAGACCTGGAAGTATAAAGATGTTGAGGCCTTAATGAAGCTTGTGTTTGGGAAATAGATGCCAAGGAAAAACTGAGACTTGATTAAGCAAGTTAGGGGAAGAGTGAAGGGAGGGAAGGGAAGAGTGAAGCAAAGGAGAGGCCAGATTATTTAGGGCTTTAAAGACTAGGAAAGGTGTTTGGATTTTACTCAAGTGTGGTGGGAAGTCATTGTAGGGTTTGAGCAAAAATAGAAATAGGGAGTAGGTATTACAGTAATCCAGTTGAGAGATAATGAATTGGAATGGTGTGCTAGAGTGGAGGTAGTAAGAGTCTGATTGAGAGTAGTTTTGAAAAGGAGATCTGACAGCACCCAGTGATACAGTATGTGAGAGAAGTCATGGGTAATATATTGATTGATAGGATTTAGCTTGGCAAATGATGGTTTACTAGTTTGCTGAGATGTGTGAATATTGGTGCCAAATTAATCTTAAACCTTTCCTTTTAAATGAGAAATGATTGTGTCAACATTATCTTAAATATATGAAAATAAAAAAGAAATCATTACAAAAACTTCTTTTTTATAGGCGGAGTATGTCCAGCTTGTTACTGAACTTCGAATGACAAGAGCCATTCAGCCTCAGATCAATGCATTTTTACAGGGCTTTCATATGTTCATTCCACCCTCCCTTATACAACTTTTTGACGAGTATGAATTGGTAAGGAAAAGCATGGATTTTGTTGTCGGTTTTTTACAAGAGCACAAAACTCCAGTTGATGTAATTCAAAAAATAATTTTGGAGTACTATAATGAATAGAATAAGATATAAAATAATTTTGGAGTACTATCATGAATAAAATAAGGTATAGTCAGGTGTTAATGGTTTAGTATTTATGTTTAGAGATTTGCTATAATATTTCTGGTTGTACTTCTCTTAGGCTTAATAACCACATGAACAGTTCCTTAATGTGAATTGAGTGAGGTGGTAATAAACAAAAATGGGATACATTTCTAGCGTCTTCTATGTGGGAAATGTTGAAGAGTAGTCTTCCCGTAAGCAATATTCTACTTTATTTCTGAATTTTTTATTTGTCTACATGAAAAAGGGAAGCTGATTGTAACTACTGCGCAATGTAATTAAGAGAGTTCTTTCTTGTTGTATTTATATAGTATTCTCCAGTTTCTTATTTTGCCATGTATAAATCAAACCTATGTTGAGCCTGTACTCTTTGCTCAAGTCCCTAATGAATTGGGATTAAACTCAGGATTTGCTAGGCAGGCATTCTACCACTTGAACCACACTGCTCCCCCTAGCCCTTTTGTTTCTATTTTGTTTCTGAGATGGATTCTTTAATTTGATCCTCCTGCCTCCTGCATGTTCCACCACTCCTAGCCCTGACAAATGTTTTGTGTTGTTCCTTCCACTTGCCTACCTTTTTTTTTTTTTTTCTGGTGGGACTGGTGTTTGATTCAGGACTTCCTGTTTGCAAAGCTGTTGCTGGAAAAGCAGGCACTATGTTGCTTGAGCCATACCTCCAGTCCATTTGCTCTGGTTATTTTGGAGATGGGGTCTTGTGAACTATTTGCCCAGGCTGGCATGAAACTGAGATCCTCCCCATATCAGCTACCATGCAGCTAGGATTATGACGCCCAACTCATTTATCTACTCTTTCCTGTGTGATTTAACAGGATTTCTGATTTTATATGATTTATGTCTGTTTTGTCTGTTTTTTCTCCATTTCCTTTTTTTGTTAATAAATTATTTTCAAACCTGTTGAATTATCCAAATCTTTAATAAAACACGGTATTTTAAATAGAGGATTGCTGCCTTTTTATTTAAAAAATTATAATTAGAATAGTAAATTCTAAATGGAAAGCACAGTTGGGTTTTTATTATATCTCATTAAATTAGTTTTACCTTGTACCTTTTCATTTTACCGAATGAATAGAACACTGATGTACACTTCCAGTTTTACGTGCCATTATTTTCAGTTTGTCATTCATAGTGCATCTTAGTATAGGAATGCTAATTAATTTTGAAGTTCATTGTGACTTAGTTTTATTAAATGTAAGTTTTGAGTTTTTTGCTTTGTTTTTAACTTTAAGATTTTTGTCTTCATTTGTCATAGATTCATTTAGTTTTTATGTAATTATAAAAGTTATTACTTGTTAGCATTTAAAAATGTAGTACTTATAGCTATCATTGGACATGACTGAAATCTGACCTTTCTTATACTGGTACTTTAGTTAGATTAGCCTTGTGAAATTCAAGACAGTTATGTTATTTTCTGAATTTGTGTATATCTAAAAAACAAATAGCAACAACAAAAATAATTGACAAAAATTGATAATTTGCTGATAATAAGTTAATGAAAGTTTTTATTGAATTATATATATGTAATATATCTGGACATATTTTTATAATAAGTGTATAGCTTGATGAGTTTCTTTTTTTGGAGGGATGGTACTGGGGTTTGAATTCAGGGCTTTGTTCTTACTAGGCAGGCGCTCAACCGTCTGAGCCATGTCTCCAGCCCTTTTTGCTCTGGTTATGTGGAGATGGGATCTTGCTTTTGGCTCAGGCTGACCTGAATTTGTGATTCTCCTATTTTACACTCTTTGCTGTCACTGGATGACAGGCATGTGCCACCATGTCCAGCTTTTTTCTGTTGAGAGGGGGTTCACAAACTTTGCTGTCTGGACTGGCCTATAACTGTAATCCTCCTAATCTCAGCCTCTTGAGTAGCTTGAGATGACAGATACATGTCACTGTACCAAGTTTAGCTTGACAAGTTTTAAAGAAAACTGAACGCATCTGTGAAAATAGCACACAGATTAAGAAGCAGAAACCCCAGCACCCAAGATGTCATTGCATGTCTCCTTCCAGTCACTATCCCCCTTTTAGGTATAATCATCTCCTAAATGTATATAAGTAAAAAAGGCTCAATTTTTTTTTTGAGAATCATAACATACTATTGCATGCAGTTATAATTTGTTAATTTTCATTGTTGTATGGTATTTTACTATGTGGTTTCCTTGGTTTTCTATTCTTGAACATTTAGTTGGTTCTTTTCAGTTCCAGACTATTTTCAAGTAGTGTTACCAAAAGCATTCTAGTGTGCCTTTATGAGAACATATGTATACGTTCTGTAGTATGAACGTACATTTTGGAGTAGAATTGCCCAGCATTTAGCATGTGCATGAATTCTACTTTAGTATATAACTAGCAAATAGTCAGTGACAGTGTATATTCCTACCATCAGTATTTTCTGAGTTTTCCACATCCTCAACCAGTATTTGATATTTCTCATTTTTGCCATTCTGGTATCAGCTGTTTTTCCTCAGGATATTAATTGGCATTTCCCTGATGACTTAATGCAGTTGAGCACCTTTCTTATTCATTGGTCATTTGGTATCTGTTTTTGAAGTGTCTAAGTAATTTGTCTATTTTCTATTGTCTTTTTTTTGCTACTGATTTGTAGTTTTTTTATATGGGTCTTTTAATCAGATATATGTATTGTGAAATGTCTATTGTGATGTCTTTCAGGAAAAAAACCTTTTAATACAGTTCAGTTTATCATTTAAAAAGTAATTGAACTTTGTTCCATCTAATTTTTTTTTTTTTTTACCATACTGGGGTTTGAACTTTAGGGCCTCATGCTTATGAGGCAGCACTCTCCCACTTGAGCACTCTGCCAGCTATATCCTGTTTAAGATACTGTTTCTTATTGGAATAAGAAAGGTCATAAGTGTTTTTCTGCCCTTTCCTCTAAGGATTTTATTCATGGGGCTTGAATTCAGGATCTACACTTGAGCCACTCACCAGCCCTTTTTTCTGATGGGTTTTTTTGAGCTCCATCTCTCGAACTATTTGCCTAGGCTGGCTTTGAATCGCAATCGTCCTGATCTCTTGACTCCTGAGTAGTTACGATACAGGCTTGAGCCACTGGCACACCGATTCTTACATTGGAAGTTAAACCAGGTTTCTTAATTTGTCTTGGACTCTGGTTTTAGTTGAGCTAATGCAGATGATGGGATTATTTGGGATTAGCAACATTGTAGGCAGTTCTGATTTATGCAGTGAAATAATATTGACAGTTATTAAGCACTTAATATTTGCCACGTGCTTTATATATTAACTTTAAAAATCTTTTTACAAACTTCTAAGGTAAGTTTACAGCCCCATTTCAACAGATGAGAAAACTAGAAAGAAGGTTTGGAACTTGCTAGTGATTACAGAGTATGTGTTAGATGCAAGCTATTAACTCATGCGCTCTGACTACAGAGCCCACTCTGTCCATCATTATCACCAAACTGATTCTTGGTGCATTAGTAATAAATGCTTTTATAACTTTTGTATCTTTTCCTAGGCTATATAGGGCTGTACTACACTGAGCAAGGTACCATTTTACAATTTTGTTGCAAACATCTATGTTAGGTTTGTACTTCAGTTAAAGAATTTAGGTTAGATTCTAGAGTTAGCGAAGAGAAGGTATCTAGTAGCTCCAGCGGGGTATTTGTCCATTGTGGATAAAGGACAAACCCAAGTCAAGAGGTGATTATCAGGTTAAAAAATAATGATAACAGTGTGTCATTAGTACATCTATGATACTGTTGAGTTGAAGGGTTCCGTCCAAATGTCTTAGGGATTGTCCTTCTCTGTTGTGCTGCAGAGAATTTATCCATGATGGTGCCAGAATATAAAAATGCTAAGTCATAGAAATACTAGTAGCAGCTCTGAGCATTTGTGTGACTCATGTTCTGACTATTAGTATAGGTTACATAAAGATTATATCCATTTCCAACAGACAATTACTTTGTTATTTTTTTTAAAAAAATAATAATTTTGATTGTTTCATTATATTAAAAAATAAGTATACTATTGATTGGGTCTTACAATATTTTTTTATGTGGGGTAGTAAAGATCTTTTTTCCTCATTTCAAAAATCATAACAAATACAATATTCATAAAATACTTTTAAGTTTTTTTGAGAGAAAATAGTTTCATTTTTAATTCATAATTATTAACAATGAAAGCATACTTTATTATTAAAAGCTTTTCTTTAGCTATCTAGAAGGGGAAAGGATTAAACTCACAAATTGTAAGAAGTACATAAAATTCCCTACTGTCTTTTGGTAGATCTGTATAATGGTCCTATCAGGGAACAGAATTTTTTCAGGTGATTCAAATAAGGAAACTTTAACAAAGGGGTGATAAAAAGGTGTTTATACTGAATAAAGAAGTTTCTGATGGGCATCTAGACACTGGTAACAGTGGAAAACCTTTATCATGGCTAGGACTGAAGAGACTGGTGGAAAAATTATTGTGAAAGTATATAATACCATGGCAAAGAGGATTAAAACAACTCTATACTAGCAGTTCTAAGACATTTTTGGTCTTGGGACCCCCACTTATAACAAGTGTTCTTGCTTATGTGGCTGCATCAGTGGATATTTATTGTATTTGAAATTAAATCAGAAATCTAAAGTATTTTATTAACACATTCATTATGTATTATATAAATAACATTTTTAAAATGAAAACTTTGTTCTCAGAAACAAAACAAAATAGAAAAGTGACATTATTTATTATGTTTTGTAATTTTATAATGTCTGGCTAAATAGAAGACAACTGGATTTTCATATCTGCTTCTGCATATCAGTCATGCTATGTTGTTTGGTTGAAATATGAGGAAAAATCAAATTTCACAGAAATAACTTGGAAAAGGAAGAACCTTGCAGACCCATTGAATAGATTTGAAATCCACAGGAGTTCTAAGACATTGACTTACATTAATTTTCTTCGTAGCATACTCTATACTTGTCAGGTATTTGTTTTTTCCTTTATTGTTGTTGCTAGTGGGTACATTGTGGCATTTACATTTACAAGAGGTTCTTAACAATGTATCAAAATATATCATCACTTGATTCACCTCCTAGTTATTTGCTAATAGTTGCTGTAGGAGACAGGACTTTGAACCACATTATATGTTATGTTCCTATAAAAACATGCTGCTCTAACTTACTGTGTAAGTGTAGACAGTTCAATTGCCTCCACTCATTTGTGTAAGCATACCTAACCGTAAAAACAGTGGACTGATTCAGAGACACAGACAAACTCTTTTTCACATCTCTTTTTCCCTGGGAAAACTTAATGATAAATACTTTGCCATTCTTAATTTCATATTTAATTATATGATTGAGATTTTTGTAGTTGTTGATGAATTTCCTGGAAAGAAAAAAACTAATCAAAAGTCATTAGGAGCCAGGGCACAGTGGCTCACTCCTGTATTCCTTGTTACTTGGGAGGCAGAGATTTGTTAGAGGATCTGGTTGTTGAGGTCCACCCCAGGCAAAAAGTTCACAAGACCCCCTCTCAACCATTTAAAAAGCTAGGTGTTCATTATGCATGGTAAACACCTGTCATCCCCAGCTGCATGGGAAACATAAACAGGATAAGTTGTGTTCAGGCCTGCCTGAGGACCCTGTCTTTGAAAAAAACTAAAGCCAAAAAGGATTGGCCCCGGATGTGGCTCAAATAGTAGAATTCCTGCCTAGCAAAGTACAAGGCCTTGAGTTCAAAACCCCAGTACTGCCACTAGATAAATAAATTAAAAAATAAAATCATTAGCTGGGATGTACTGAAAGTTCTGAGTGCTTGCTTAGGCCTTAACATGAGACCCCTAGGTTTCTCCTGAGCACTGCAAAAAAAAAAAAAGTCATCAAAAAAAGTTGCATTTTCTTATCATGTTAGGAAAAGTTGGTTTTTGAAAGACTGAATTATTCCAGAATGAAATTTCCAAAAGGATAAGTATTTTTTTTTTAAGTAAACAAAAAAATAGTAACTATTTATATTACCTTTTTATTCTTAGTGGTAAGGTTTCTTGATGAACTTTCCATTTCTTTAATCCAGATTTTACCACATCTTTTTGTCACCTTTATGTGAGCATATGATCGCCATAGGAATTTAACATATTTGCATAATCATAAAAATTAAAAAACTAATGCTTATAAAAATTATTAGTACATATAAAACATGTTTCATATGCTTATATGAAAGATTGTTACTATTCTCGTTATGTTCTAATTAAATTGAATCAAATGTGGAAGCATTTCCATATCTCCACAATATTTTGAATTTTTAGTATTGAGGATCGTTTGCCCCATTGTCGTACTTGTATTGACACCATGCAGGAAAAACTGCCACAAAAATAAATCAGTTGATATAGAATTTAGTTCTAATTAAGAAAAATTTAACTATTTAAATGTAACTTTTTTCCAAAGAAGCTTAATGAAATATTTTTCTCTTTTCCTGAAGGAGCTACTGCTTTTCTGGCATGCCAGAAATTTATGTGAACGATTGGATAAAAAATACAGAATACCACAAGTGGCTATGAAAGAGAAGATCCAGTTATTCAGGTAAAATCTCTCCAGAGCTTAGATGAAGTTAAGTTTCCATTTTAATTTTGTAAGCTCTTCCAGCACTCATCTAATGAAAACCTACATTAATTAACAAAAAAATTTCCATAATTTCTTCTTGTGGTATTAGCCATGAGCATTGTATGTAAATCACTTTGATAAATGGATTTTCATAGAACCAATATACTTTATGATATTGCATTACTTTTCTCTGGTGTAGTCTAATTTAAATTGAAATGGGGCAAAACCTAAGATTTTGTGTGTTAGTGGTTCTGGAGTTGTGAAGACATTACTCAGGAGGAGAGAGTTCTTCTCTTGCAGTTTGTTACTGGCAGGTTAGAAAGTGTTTTTATAATAAAATAGAAATTAATTTTAATGTACTTGTTTTCTAGTGGGTTAGAAATAATCACAGAGAATAACAAAAATGACGGTCAGGTTATTATGGTCTGAACTTTTTTGGTTATTTCTTACCTCTCACTATTCTTAGGTATTAAACAAAGATTCTTTAGGTGGTTTAAGATACGTTTTATGGTAGTGCTGGGAGAAATGTTTAGCATTTGAAAAAGAAAAAAATCCCAAAGCTGCGGCGGCTATCAGAAGATTTTATTTAATGTTGGTAATCTTTTCTTCTGCAGTAGGTGAATGAAGTATCCAAACTTTTATGTTTGATGTTGTTGGTTTGGTTTAGTAGTAAAGTAGATATCCAGTTTTCCTTGGATAAACACACAGACACAAACACATGGCACGCACACACACACTTACGCCTACATTAGCATTCTTCTTCCAGTTCTTATCAAAGTTGTTAAGATTTGTTGCCTAAAAAAGGGAATTTGTGATATATTTCATTGAAACATTCATTTAAAACCTCCTATTAAATATGCATTAATTACAAAACTAGATGACCTTAAACCTTCTAATTTCTAAAAGTAATAAAATTCTGATTTTTATTTTTGAACTTTGCATTTCATCTCTTTCCTATTTTATGAAAATGTATTCAATTTTTCCATTATTAATGTACATTGTTCTTCTAAAGTTTAAGAGACAGAAAAATATATACCACTCCCTTACCAGCAATAAGTATAAACATCCTTTATATATTTTCTTCTCTTGTATTTTTATTCTGCATATTTAAAAAAACTAGTGTAACTATAAATATGTAATTTTTGTTTAAAGACCATTTATTTTCTTATTTTAAAAGTGGTATATAATGTGAAAATAAAATGAAAATTCCATTAAGTGATCTCACTATTTTCAGAGTAATGACAAGTAAACATTTGTTTTATTTCTTAGTCTCTAACTAGTAATTAAATAGAAAAATTGTTTGTAGGTCATAGTGGAAATTTTAGTTTTAATGAAATTAAATAAAACATTCATAGTTGTAGACTAAAGTTCTGAAAAAAAAAGCCCTTGTTAGGTTTGTTTCTTTGCCTCTGGAGTGCCAAGAAGTATTCAGAGATTGAAGTAATTTAAATAAGAGCGAATTAATAATTCTATTTTCTATATAGGAAGGAAGATTAGACAATTAAGGAAAAAACACTTCTAAATTTCAATTCCCTAAAAGATAACCACTGTTAACATTTCTGTTATTTTAGTATATTCCCAATATATAAATATATTTTTTAAGTTGCTTCTATTTTTATAACTTTTTGAATACCAATTTATCATTAAAAAAATTGTTTCATTTATAGTATCTGTCATTTCTAAATGGCTTGCTTATTTTTCATTCATTTGATCTCCTACATTTAGTTATCCTTTGTTTAAATTTTCCTGTTCATGGAATAATAATGTAAGTAAATAATTTAATGCTTGTATCCTTTGTGGGCAATTGATTATTCCATATAGCATTAACTATATTTTAAGATGGAAAGTTTGGATGTGAGAGACATGTTTTGCGTCAGGGATATAGCTTCAGTTGCGCAGAGCACGTTTCTAGCATGCACAAAGCCCTTGCGTTTCAATCCCCCAGTACCATGTCAAAAGAAAAAAATTGGATTTTTATATCTTGTACATATGGTTCTTTATCTTTTATGAAGCTTTTAATATTGACATAAGCGACTGTAATGCAGGGTACTTTAATTCCCTTAAATCCTTTTTTGGCTGAGCTGAGTATTTGAACATCCTTTTTAAATCAAACACAATGTGTGACCATTCTTATGTGTACATTTTTCATATTTATGGATGGCCTGCCATTTATTTTTTGCCCATTATTCTACAGTCAGTTTTTAAAAATTCAGTTTTAACTGTTCTTTATTATTAGCCAATCTTTAATTCTGCAAATACTTTTGCTATCATTTGTCTTTTTAATTTGTTAATAGTTTTCCACATAATTGTAAATTTTATAATATGAAAATCCTAAATTGCTGTATTACCAAGGTATTCAGTACTTTCCTGGGTATGTTTTATTATAAGTCTCTAACTGTTAAGATTATATATGTAAAGATGTATTTATGTATCCTTTTCTGTTAACCTTTTTGGTTTTCAGTATTTTACATTTCCAGTTTTAGCCAACCTAGATTATGCTTTTTTGGTTTAGGTTTTGAGATAGGGCTCTTTTAATATTTTTCTAAATAGTTTATGCCTCAATACTGATGTAGTGAATTATATTTCCTTGTGGATTTGTCTTTGGTTATTAATTTCTTTTAAGATTACAAAAGTTTCTTAGAAACTATTTAATTGCTGCCTCTGATAGAGTAAAAAACTTTGGTTTATTAGCTAACACATGCCCCTCCCATTTAAGTAGCAATGTGAGAACTGCACTGCTTATTATTTAAGTGTTAATGAAAGTGTGGTGAATCCCATTTGAACTGGAGGTGAAGTATATGGCCTAAGAGTAGAGTCCTGGAAGCTGAGGGGTAAACCAAAGTAGCTATTTGGGGAGCTGGATCATGAGGGAATGATGGTTTGAGGCTATGACTGGTGGCAAAATAGCTCGTGATTGGACTCCCCCCGTCCCAATCCCAGAATCAAGTTGTCAAGTTGAACTGAGGCATGGTTGAAGTGTGTAAGAGTGCCTTGCTTTGCAACCATTGAAGCCCTGAGTTCAAACTTCAAGCCCTTACAAAGAAAAAAGTTAATTTAAAAACTTTATCATTGGTGACACTTACTATGTCTTGAATATATAAAGACTTCATCTTAAATGTCTCAGTATTATGTTTTGTCTATTCCTCAACAATAATGACAATCAAGCCGGGTCCTGGTGACTCATACCTTGTTAATCTTAGCGACTTGGGGAGGCAGAGATCAGGAGGAGCATGGTTCAAAGCCCAGCCCAGGCAATCAGTTGCATGAGGGCCCTTGTCTTGAAAATACCCAACACAAAAACATGAGTGCTCAAGTCGGTTACAGTGCTTGCACTAGCAAGCGTGAGGCCCTGACTTTCAAACCCAGTACTAAAAAAAAAAAAAAAAGAATAATGAAAATCAAATTTGTGATTCTTTGTGTATAAAATTGGATCCTTGCATAAACCATAGGATCTATGTGTCCATGAAAAAACTTCAACCACCATAGATAGAAAATATTTCAGGAAAAAAACTCTGGTCTATGCCAAAATTGCATAGGCTTTTTCCTTATCATTTATTTCCTAAGTAATTACAATATAACAACTATTTTGCTTTGCATTTACATTTTACTAGAGATTATAATATCTAGAAAGATTAAAGCATATGTGAGGATGTATGAGAAACTACATCATTATCTATAAGGAGCTTGATTTCATTCACAGATTTATGATATTTTTTGGGGGGGGAGAGTTATCCTGAACCAATCCTCCATGGTATTGAGGGAAAAAATATGTCATTTTATTTCAGTTTCACAATATGTAATTCAGGGTGTCCACAATATTCAACTGAAGAACATTAATTTATTTTTATAATATATGCTATAACATGATGAATCATGATCTTAGCATAAATAGCTGATATTATAAAATATGGGCCCGCCATAAATTCATGGTTATAGAAAAAAGTAGTAAGGTTTTCAGGGATGGTTCATGGAATATTTGCTTATAAATTTCAATCTAGATTTGATCATCCTGATACTGAAGTACTGTGCTGGTTAATTTGTTATAAGGTCCACTGTCAAAGTTTATTTTCTTATTCTTGTCCTGGGTACAGAGGATATATTATGTTTGAATTTTAAAAAATTTATACAATATTCGAAACATTAGTAATATTTTTATTCCTTGTCATTTTTGGTCACCTTGTTAATTTTAAGGCAAAAGTTAATAATATACAGAGTTAGTATCATTTAAAAAAAAAACAGGTATATGCAGGTCTTTTAAAACATACTCTCTTGCCCTAAGTAAGAATTGTTCATGCATTTGTTTTATTAGCAAGATTCAGGAATTCTTTCATTATTCACTTTTAGTAATCTAAAACAAACTTAGAAATTTTATCAATAAAGCATTTAACAGCATCCAAACTACTTTCTAGCTAGAAAAGAAAACTGCTGTTTTTAGGAATTCTTTTACATTGAATTAAAGCTTTTTTCCTTGTGGATGAATAATACCAGTGATTTTTTTTTCTTTTTTTATTATATTCATATGTGCATACAATGTTTGGGTCATTTCTCCCCCCTTCTCCCCGCTCTCTCCCTTCCCTCCCTAACCCCTCACTACCAGCAGAAACTATTTTGCCCTTATCTCTAGTTTTGTTGAAGAGAGAGTATAAGCAATAATAGGAAGGAACAAGGGTTTTTGCTGGTTGAGATAAGGATAGCTATCACAGGGAGTTGACTCCATTGCTTTCCTGTACATGTGTGTTACCTTCAAGTTAATTCTTCTCAAACTACCTTTTCTCTAGTTCTGGTCCCTTCTCCTATTGGCCTCAGTCGCTTTAAAGTATTGCTTTAGTTTCTCTGTGTTGAGGGAACAAATGGTCTAGTTTTTTTGGGTGTTTACCTATCCTCATACGTCCTTGTGTGGTTCCTCGCTTATCATATGATCAAAGTCAATCTCCTGTTGTGTTTTGTCCTGATCTAATTGTCCACATATGAGGGAGACAATCTGATGTTTGGCTTTTTGGGCCAGGCTAACTCATCGAATGATGTTCTCCAATTCCATCCATTTACCAGTGAATGATAACATTTCGTTCTTCTTCATGGCTGCATAGAATTCCATTGTGTATAAATACCACATTTTCTTAATCCATTTGTCAGTGGTGGGGCATCTTGGCTGTTTCCATAACTTGGCTATTGTGGTTAGTGCTGCAATAAACATGGGTGTGCAGGTGCCTCTGGAGTAACCTGTGTCACATTATTTTGGGTATATCCCCAAGAGTGGTATTGCTGGATCATATAATTCCAGTGATTTTGAATAGAAAATTCTGGTGCGCTTTTT